TGACATATGTTGGCTCAAACGATCGGAAGCTTTCTTAAAATCAAAGTTTGCTAATACAAATGACATTAACAGTTAAGTAGTTTTATTTTATGTATTCGGAACCCCTGCGGGTTAGGGGTTCAAGTATTTACCCGCGGTAAGACATGCCTGTCGTAAGAGGCGACTAAAATCCAATAGTTCCCGCGACAGTAGGAACGACCTTGATTTTTATCCGGCCAGGACTGTCACTCCCGCAACATTCCCCAGAAAGTATTTTGTCTAATATTTTTGCGGTCACAAGAACAACAACAACAACGTTTTTACGTACTTTGGCAATGACTATAAGACTCAGTCACATTACGAGAAAAATTTATAAGAGATAACTCTATAATTGCTGTGGTCATATGAGATTACTAGAATTACAGCACTCCTTTATGTTCTTTTAATGCTGTGCAGACAGTTGTACTTTATATAATTGATTATAATGATTTTTTATTCAATGTTAACATTGTACAAATGCAACTTACTTTAAAAAAAGGTAAATGGTCCTTCATTTGTGGAGCTTGGAAAAATGATCGAACTCACATTTCTATGTTCATAAAAAACCCAACGGATTACTTCGAAAAGAATCCCAAAGAGGAATGAATTGGGAGCCCTCAATCAAGAAGCCATACCCAATGCTCGACGGTAAAAGGCATATCGATTACGATAGAGGAGCCGTTCTATCCAAAATAAACCATTTGCACGATGCAGGTTTACCTTTTTCGTTGCTTTTATAATGTACACGAAATGGTTCGAACATTTGAGAAAGTGAAGATAAAAGCCTAATAATAGCGGTATCAAAAAGGGCACTGATTAATAACCGCATCAAATCAACTCAAATCAAAATCGGAACACAGTCACAGATCTTATTTGAAAATTTTCAACTATACAATTAGGAATTCAAAATAAAAATAACAAAAAATAAAAATGTAAACAAACATACAAAACATAAACAAACATTTTTGCTATCTTTACACTGAAGCGAGTTAATTATATGAAAAAAATTGACTGAGTTAACATGAGGAAACTTATGTATATAGCTCCTAATCATAATTTTCTTTGTTGTTTCGCCCTTCATGCTCACACAGAGACTCTTTGTTCAAGCAATTTTTTTGACATTAGTTTCTTCTTCATTTTGTTTCATTGATGTTTCAATCATTTAATTTTTTTATATCTTTTTACATTTCATTGAACATCAATTCTACCCTTTCCAAAGTGTAATCTAATACCATATCTTATCCTTTTCACTATCATCAGTTGCAATATCAGTGCCTTCTTCAATACTTTTTAATATTTCTTGTTTTAATACAAGTTTATCAGCAAACTCAACTATCTCAAATATTTATTAATAATTGGATACATATACGCAACTCCAACTTCTCCCCCATGGAAAAATTAAATAGCGGGGAATATTTAAGTGATTTCAAGATTGTATAACATTACTTGCGCAAATCAATATTATGGGCGCCAAAAAAATACTTGACCGATTTTTTTACTGCTGGCACTAAAGGACATACCTTTAATTTGATATGCATATCAATAATTTTAAACATAAAGGTGAATATTAAAAAAAAGAAATTTTTAAATAAAAAAAAATATTATTTTATTAAAAAAAAGTGCCTTAAAACCCTTATTAATTAAATAGAGTACAAAATTACTTTTCATTTGATGCACAACTGGTTATAATAAATGTCTGTACATATTATATTTTATGTAAATTGACAATCATTCGTCTGTATCAATTTCCTAACAGTAACAAAAACAACAGAATCCATTCCCTTAGAAATACAAAAATAACTGTTTCTGACAAAAGCGGCTAATCCTTTTCAATGCAAATGTGTTTAGTTACAAAACGTATATTAACTTGTCGCGATGGCTTGTCCTTTTAATTTAAAAAGAATTTATAATTTGTTTGAGAACAATGCATGTAATGAACTGAGGCATGTAAAATATTCTATGCCACAATACCAAAAAAGCAAACAAATTTTTGATGGTTATTTGGCTAAATTTATGTTGCAAATATATAGATGAATTTGATACGTTTTTGAATTATGCCGAAAGTTTGTACAGTTCTCTTGGTACGAACCAAGACAAAGAAGAAGAAGAAGAGTACGTAATTGAAATAAACAAAACAAACTTACAAACGTATTTCATTTAAGGATACTGTGCAAGGCGAAGCCGGTGTTGGTACTCTAAAGCGCGGCTAAAGGCCCCCAACTTACAAAGATGTTACACTTAAGAATACTGTGCAAGGCGAAGAGGGGAAAAATATTTATAATTTTATAACTTTTAAACAGTAATATAAATATTTACAAGTTATGCTATACATCAAATTAAAGATAATTTTGTATTCTATTTAATTTATTTATTTTTAAATGGGGTGAAACGTTACTGTTTTAAGAAAATCATAGCATTTTTTATTAAAAAAATAATTTTTTTTAGTTTCCTTTTTTTGTTAAAAAAATGTGGAATATAAATCTACATATATGAAGGGGGATGCGGCCATGTGTAGAAGCTCACGAAAGTGAGGAAAGTTTCTGACTGACTTTCACATGGGAGTGGCCAGAAACGATTCTTTTGCATATGGTTCAAGCAATTCATGGCTTTCGGTCGTAGACAACGTATCCCCTGCGTAGCCAACAAACATCCGCCTGGAGACGAGCTAAAGTGCACCATGCGGTTGTGCGTAGGGCTTGAGACCTACCACATGAAAAACAAAATCCAAAGAAAACTTTAAATCAGCTGGTGCCGCTGTTCAACTGGTTGACGTCCTCATAAAGTTAAAGGCCGACATCACAGCCGTCGAAAAGGTGAGATGGACGGGACAAGGACGGAAGGAGGGTCCTTGTGAAATTTACTTACTTACTTACTTTATTGGCGTAGACACCGTTTATGTGATTACAGTCGCTTTAACAATATTGCGCCATTCATTTCTTCTTTTTGCTGTATGGCGCGAAATGGGAATACGAGGTACAGCCAAGTCTTTCTCTACTTGGTCTTTCTAAAATAGTGGATGCCTTCCCCTTCCTTCGCTTGCAAGGGCGGGTACTGCATTGAACACTTTCAGAGCAGGAGTATTCGCATCTATCCGGACCACATGACGTAGCCAGCGGAGACGGTGCTTCTTGATTCGCTGAACTATATCATTCGTCTGCGATATTCGCCGTTGCCAAAGTGCAAAGGACCATAAATCTTACGCAAAACCTTTCTCTCGAAAACTCCTAACGCCGTCTCATGAGATGTTGTCATCGTCCATGCTTCCGCACCATCTAGCACGACGGGAACGATGAAGGACTTGTAGAGTTTGGGGACCCACAGTCCGCTCCAATATTTCCAATTTATGTGAAGCACTGAAGCTCACCGCCAACAAACTAATAAGTCAACCATTGACGAGTTGTTAACCATGCGCCAAATCTTGGAAAAGAGCCGTGAAAAAAGAATTGATACACACCACCACTGCCCTTCCTTGCAAGCTCGTCCACTATCCGATTATGGTATGTTCCACCTCCGGTAGTAACGGTGACTTGCTGCTTAATCAGCTTTGTTCTATTTCCTGTTGCCATTCCCATTGCCATTTTTCCGGCAGCTGAAAGGAGTCAACTCAGTAAGTTATCAAAGTACCAGATGTGATGCGTAATATTGTAACAATCCAGTTTCGAAATCCTGCACGGGAAAAAATGCAGCCATTGGACACGGCCTAATAAAAACTCTTGGAGAACCGCACCGACTTGGCCGAAAGGGGCTACACGGATTTCCACCTCTGAAAAACACTTCGGCCTTCGGGTCCCACAGGTGCCAATGCTAAGCCTCAAGAGGGAATGAAACCCCTACTATCTTGGAAGAAACCGACGCCCCTTGAAGGTAAGGCTAACATGCATGCTGGGAACTCCGTGAGATCGGAGAGGTCTGTTGATTACCCTGAGTAAGTAAAGGTGCTGAAGGCACTGCCGTGGAGGCTGAGGGAGCGGTTGGACGTTGGCAGCATTCCCTGTGAGTCTTAAGGTAACTCCAACCATTGCACTGGTTGCATCTAATCAAGGTGGAGGAGTGGTGGAGTCTTTTGTGGCACACGCAGCAGAAATAGTCCGTCGGACCAGGGTTGGTTTCAACGAAAGCCCTGATCGGAAGGATTTGGAGCAACCCAGCTGCAAGGTGTTGCTCCATTGGCGAACTTAGACTAATGTTGCCTGTTGACCTAAACGGAGTTAGGTCGAAGAAAGGGTGACAGCCCTTGGCCGGATAAAATCCGGTGCGTAGAACCGGCTGTCGTGAGAGTTGATGCGCAGCATGTGAAGAGTCTCCCTTAAGCCGACACATCTAATCACCCCTCCCACAGCTAAATTCACTCAACTCAATTCTATGGAGCTAGCCCTAACATAGCATCACATATAGGTATGAGTCTGTATAACTGTATGCATAGCAACGTATCTTTCAGTAGCGCTAGAAGCTGTCCTTGATTTTACACCTCTCCACAAAGTCATAGAACTATATATTGCGCATCAATAACATTACCGATGTATTTTGGAACATAATACATCGTCAAAGTTTGCACTGTTGCGTTTTGGAATGAGTGACGATTTATGGTTGCTTTGCAACTGATGTTTTGGAACTCACCCTACCATAGCATCTTCCAGGCAGAAGTGTCCGCCAATACATCATGCGCAGATATCATGCTCAAAAGAAAAACTGAGCCAACTACAAGTCATCCAGCCGAAAAAAAACCACATTAAATCCGTCAATCCTTCTAATCTGATTGGATTTAAAGGGCTTTAGGACTAATTGCAGTAATGTGATAGAAACGATGGGCCCAATAGACCACTGGTCGCGATATATATCCTCTATCTATCAATTTTACTTGAGGCTGCACTACTTCAGCTGAGTTTCCTAATTCATATTAATTTTTTGCTATTTCCCTAACGGCTTATTTCTCAAATAATACTTACAACAGTACTGCGGATGTATAAAATAATATGAAAGTGTTTGTTTGTGTTAAAAATACGCCCTACGTTTATATAGCGGCTTTATTAGAAAATTAAACTTGTATAAATAATAAAATTTGTATGGACTAATGTCAATCGCTTCAATTAATGATTTCTTATAGAAGCAGTGTTTTTACCATCTGGAAAGCGCGCTAGAAAACGTTGTAATCGTAAAAATTTGATTGATATTAAGCGCTTATCGAACCACCAACCATTTATTTCATTGTGTATTGTGCCTGCATCAGCTTCACTCCGGCAGCGGACGTATACGCAACAACTTTGCTTATCGATCTGAATTTCTTCGATACAGCACCTGGACCCAACTTTTTCTATTAATGCCCCTTCTATTATTTCTTTCAAATTTGAAATGTTGGACTCTGATGGATCAAACATATGACGTATTTTCAAACATGAGGTAGGTGGATTATTAATTTTGTTAGTGTAATCAAATGCTGGACTATGCCATTTTTTTAGCGAACTATTTAAACGTGCATTAGGGTATGACGTTCCTATCCATTTCATTGTACGAAATTCTTCTCCATCGGATATTCTAATCCCAAATTGTATTCTGCTATCATTAACTTCCAGCAATTGCAACGCCTCCTTCCAGTACTTTACGTAAGAGTTCCTTTTATTGGGCGGTATCAATTTGTCGCGCAGATGGTTTATTATAACTTCTCGTTCTTCTGGTACTTCACTTAGAGATGCTTTAAAAATCAATTCGTTTATAATATCTGCTGTAAACTGTTCAATAACATGGGAACGGTTGACGCGCCAAGCTTTTACGTAACGATAGCAAACGAAAATCACACCCGAGAGTAATGAAATTAATGCACCTATACCAATTATCATAAAAAAACTTTGAATTTTTGAGTAAAAGCTGCAAAATATAGAGCGATTCTCCAAGAGTAAGGTAAAATTCACATCGTTCGCCTCATAAATTTTGATTTTCCATTGAGGATTTTTCTTTATAAGCATTTTGGTATAAAACAAAACTTTTTCCAACTTTTCTGGTCCATATTGGTATATTTCCTTTGCATTGTTAACGATGTCTAGTTCACCGATTGAAACTTTTTTTTTATTGCAGTGATATCTTTTAGCTTGAATTTGAAGCAACTTTAAAATGTCTTTTGTTAAATCGATGGCATTTTCTAGATAAATATCTGGAATGCAATCTATTTTATCAACTAAGCCTCCGCATGCATTCACTTTGCTGTCAATGCTGTTCAAAGGCAAAATGCGTGGACTTTGGATCATATAAATAAGAGCCAAACCAATAAAAAATACTATGAATGTCCCAACCAACATATATGGCTTAAAACTTTGATTCAGTAGAGATTGCGATCCGATGTAAGACATCATGTCATATATTTTACGTTTTGATTTAGTAAAGTATTTGTTTGCTTCTTTTGGCATTGATATATATGAAGTTAATTGATTTTCACAAGTATTATGATTTCGAAATTTTTTATCACGAAAACTTAATAATCTATTTACTACGCCCAGATGGGATTGTTCAGTAAAGGTAGCAATATTATTCTCTGGCAAAACAGGAACAGAGTAGTCAGATTTCTTTGAATATTGATCCATTTGATCACTTCCAGAAGGAAAATGTAAATATTTATTAGATACTGGAAAGTTGTTTTCAGTAAAATATTTTGATGAATTGTTCATAATCCCTTTTCTCATTCGAACATCTTTAACCGCTGATTTACAATTTTGAAATTCAGACTCATAACTTCTATTCCGATTCATCTGTGAAATATTTGTTAGCTCTTCTCCAGAGAACTCTTTCGACAAATTTGCATTCTTTTTGAGTGATTTGTATAATTTGCTAACTAGAATTCCTCGAGTGGTTTCTGTGACTGGTACAATGGGAAATCCTGAAGCTCTTAGCCGCTTTCGCAGTTCAGCGTCACTTAGTTTTTCAATTTCTTTTCTCATTTAGTAGCTCTGTTTGCATTACAATTATTTTTTGCAAGATTCAGGTAGTGCAATGTAAATTAGTTTTGTTTTCCGAATATCAAACAAGCAATACGTTCTTACTATTTTAAAATTTATATTTATATCGATAATTCAGATTTCTAATTTCATTAAGGTGGTATTAAACAAACCCACTAAATTCTTGCAAAAAATTAAAAGTAGCGTGTACACACTCCTGAATGTTAATATTCGTAGATATTTCATTTTCAGAAATTTTATTTGGGCGGCCGATTTCTGAAATAACTTTCTGGCTGTTCTCACTGCGAAACTTTTCTTAACACATCCTTTTCGAAAATTTTTACATAATATTCGTCGTTAAAATAAAAATTATCATATGCAGCACTGTTCACAGGACTGAAGTGAAACTTCATAAGCAATTTTTGTGAGAGAGTGAGAAAAAACTTGAACTTTTTTACGATTCTAAATGATTAAGAAGAACATTCGAAAATAAGTCCATACACAAAATAATTTATTAATTAATGATTTATTGATATACTAATTATACATTCAATATTAATTGATTTCTTCTATTTCTTACTCTCTTCGTTAGATTCAATAATTCTGTAATAATTAAAACATTTATTTGTTTTCTTTGCCGTAGCAGTTGTGTACGTACTACAATTCATCTAGCAATTCAAACCTGTTGAGACAAAATTTTGACTGTAATGAAGAACTTCCTTCTATAATTTTAAAATTTTATTTATGACCATCAACAACCAACAACAGATTGCTTTAAAAAATATATGTTGGATTTTTTTCAGCAAACATTGCTAATTTCGAGTGCTCTCATTTGCTCGTTTCGATATATGTATCAGTTTTTGTAATTTTGCTTTGCGACTAACTATTCCCAATTAACCAATATTTGTACATCCAAGTTCATTCAAGAGAAATTTTGTATTCTAAGAAATATGTATTTAAAATATAAATGGCAGTCTTTGATTTCGTCTACACAAGGTGAAAAAGTCATTGAAATAATAAAGTAAAAAAATTGATTTATAGAAAAAATATTTCTTTTTGAAATCTTAATCAGGAAGCAATGTGAATTAAAAAGAACATATAAATACCTTTAATTTAAAATATTACACTTCGTGGTTACTTTTCATTAGCGAAAAATAACTTGCTTAAATTGTGCTGTTAACGAGACATTGGAAGGCGAAGCCGGTGTTGTTCGGCTTAGATTTATTCTTTTAAGGGCGACCGAAGGTCTTTAATTCGAAGGTGTTTCATTCAAGAGTACTGTAATTTTCGAACTAACAGCTAGTTCGCAAAAATGTTTCCCTTAAGAATACTGCAGTTCGATTATTGAAATTACAAAAAATAACCATATCAACAATAGCGCACTATTATTTCCTCTTTTTCTTGTTTGGCGCCAGCCGTAAATTCCAAGTTTAACCAGGTCGCTCTCTACCTCAATGGAGTGGCGATATTCTTCTTCCTCTGCTTCTACTAGCGGGTAGTGCATCGACTACTTTCAAAGCTGGAGGACTTTCATCCATTTCGTATCTGCTGTCTCTTCAGGCGCTGAACTATGTCAATACCTGCGTATAACTAGTATAGCTCATCGTAACAAAGTCCGTGAAAGTAGCCATGGACTATCCGCAAAGGACCATAAATCTTAATCAATACCTGGAGTTCTCGAGTCCGCACACCGACTCATCAGATGTTGTCATCTTCCATGCTTCCATACTATATAGCAGGACGGGAACGACTTGTAGAGTTTGGTTTTCATTCATCGGGAGAGGACTTCACTATTTAATTGCCTACTCAGTCAGTAGCACCTGTTGGTAGAGTGAATCTGTGGCGATACATGCATACATCAGAGTGAATGCCAATACTCGGCGACGGAGTACCTCTCCAACCACAAATTCGCCACTAAATTTTGCACTCCATCATATGGACGCTGTAGTATGTTTCACAAGAATCCACCTTATTCCGTCCTTGCCCCTTCCGTTGCATTTCTTGGTGGTGATGTCCGCATTCAATTTAACCAGACTTCTTCCAAATCAAGGTGCCGGGCATTACAGATGCAATCCTTAAAACAGAAGCTCTTTAATTTTTCCACTTAAGTTTACTTTTCCTGTGTTGGGTCCTAAGCCCTACGCACAGCTGCATGGGATTTTCCCTTAAACTTAAGCTCGCTAGCAAACGGAAGTTTGTTGAGAGGATACTTGAACTAAGACTGGTAGCCATGCAAAAGATTCATTTCTTTCCACTCCTATGGGAATGGCAACTATTACAAATTGCCCCATCATCGTCTACATATGATTGAGTAAAAATTGTGATGAAATGTTGTAGTAATCTCCAAATGTTTAGTTTTAAATTTCTGAGGAATGCTGCTTGCTCCTACTAAACCTTAAGCAAACTGACCCAAAGCACACGCAGGGCTGTTCTAGCTTTTGAGCTGTTCCGTCTTTGTCGCGCTCCCTGGAAATGTGAGCGATCTTTGGATAACCGGCCCATGTGGAAACATGTTTCAAGTCTAATAGAGGGAACGACTCAATGGAGTTGAAGGATTCACTGAAATCGATTCGAGCGGGTGTCGATCTTAACTCAAGCGCCGCTTTCCAAGTTGTTGATATTCTCAAAAATATAGAGCTGACATTTCCACCGTACAGGAGATGCGATGGAGTTCGTGTCTTGTAACTTACATCTGCGGATGAACGTCTAACTTTAAAACGCTTAAATTAAAGTTCTTTAGCATATCAATGACTAGCACCCTTTGATGAAGGAGAAGGTCCATGTGATCAAAGAAACTTTCTATGAAAACTTGGTATAAAAATTATGCTTGGCGATTTCAGCTCCATGTTGGGAAATATGTGTTATTGGTGTATGGATCGGCAAATTAATTTATCGTCGTATGAAAACCGGAATGTAACATAAAGTTAAGTTACGCACTCGCCTAGGTGCATACACGGTTTTATTTTAACTCCTGCTTTCTGAGAGCATTAGTCAACAAACTGCTCAAATGTAGTGATGAAGAAATCAAAGAAGAAATGTACACGATTATAAGGAAGCTCAAAAAGCGAAAGCCTTCTTGAGGAATAACAAAGCGACGACAGAATGCATGCATCAGCATAGTGGAATATGTCTTCTCAATATCACATATAAAATCTTATCGGAAGAACTGAATGAAGGCTAGCACTAGACAGGGTTAAATCTTTTATAAGAGTCTAAAACAGCTGACGTATGCCGACAATATTGAGATATTGGCTTTAACAGTCCTGCTTTCTCCAGACTGGATAAGAAAGCTAGGCTAATGGATTTTTTAGTGAACGAGAAAAAGCTATATACATAGACATAATTTTGAGGTTAAATATAATTTTGATTATCTACTTCCACTCGGGTTTATGCTTCTCTGGTTAAGCCTACAAGATTAACCGCCAAATGTTCTATTTGAGTTGAACTCAAAATTAAGTTAGTTTTTAGGTAAGCAATTGTCTTTTTGCCGAAAAGTTAGCAACACGGAAACTCTGAATCAAACAGGTTTAATGTAAATCAATTAACTTCAACTCTCAAGGCAGCCGGTTCTACGTACCGGAGATAACCCGGATTTTTTTCGGCCAAGGGATGTCACCCTTTCAGCGACCTAACCCCGCTTAGGTCAACAGGTATAATAACATTAATCTAAGTTCTCCAATGGAGCAACACCTCGCAGCTGGGTTGCTCCGAATCCTTCTTATCAGGGCTGGCGTCGAACTGCTACCTTGCCGATCTTTCTTACTTCTTCACTGCACGACAATTGAAAATACAGCCGACTAAATCTTCGGCTACCCTCTTTACCAGCTAGATGTCAAGGTCGATGACGTAAAAATTCCGACTAAAAACAACACAAAGATATTGGGAGTGGCACTAGACAGCCTGCCCTTCTTCACTCCGCATACGACCGCAATTACCACGACACTCCAGAGCCGCAACAAATTATTCAAAGCACTAACTGGCAGCACCTGGGGTAAAGATAAGGAAACTTTGCTTGCAACTTACCAAGCAATTGTTTGGCCGATCGTAAACTATGCTGCACCGATCTGGGCACCGGGGACGAACGAGACGCAGAGGAAGATGTTACAAGAAGCTACTACTGCGACAGGAAACCTCCTGATGTCGCCGGAGCATCACTTGCACAGTGAAGCATCTAAACTACGAGTTAAGGAACACAATGCTTTGCTGTGCAAGCAGTTCCTACTTGGATGCTACCGCAGGGAGCAGCACCCCAGTGGGCACCTAATAGAGGCTGAACCTCCACCTAGGCAAATCAGAAAGGGAGTACAACATCTAGTCAACACCTTCAAAGACTCACATCCTGTGAATGGCGTGCTCGGAGTAAAACCACCACCCATTGCAGACAATGAGCTCGAGCTGCCGAGAGACCCGCGTGACCTTGACGCGACTGAGATTAGTGAAACCTTTACCTAAGCGGGGTTAGCGAACCGTTACAACAAAAATCGCGTAAAGCGACCCAGAAACCATTCAGTTGGAGGAAGCCAGCCATCTTTAACAACGACCACGTCTCCTTCCTGAAAGTAATTCAAATGAGTTGCATTGCTATTGACGGCTGCCGAACCCGTGGCGTTTTAATAAGAAATGGGCCAGTGAATTCAACACCAGTGGTGTGGTAGTGTTCTGGGGGGTAGCGCTGTCATTATTTTGGTTCCTATCCGATGCTGTCATTATTTTGGTTCCTATCCGATGTCTTACAGTGGAAGATACATTTCTATTTTCTGTTTTGAGCGTAAGATGAAGTATTCCTGTTGTGCTAGTCGGGCCATAAGCTGCTTTTCCGCATGAAGTAGGGTAGTTTACTTACTAGCTTCTACTTTTCTAGTAATGAGATTTCGTCTTTATAATAATGTTACGATTTTACTGAATCAACCTCGATGATTTTCTGAATCCTTCGGGTACGATCTCTGGATTGTTAAATAAAATATCGCCAACTTAATTGCAGTTTCTTTCGTTATAATGAATTTACCTAATGTCCTTTATTTACTCAGTAATTCACAATTCAATTAAAATGCACTTTAATAGTTACAATCACTTGCATAAACTTTCACAATATACTTTCGACTACGAGTTCACTTTGCAACTTGGCAGCTGAATGTAGCCCTTATATAGCAGTCTGCTGCTCGTGGACGAAAGTGTAGAATAATCGAATTGTTCGCTATCGAATGTTCTCGCTATATCGTTCTAGAATGTACTATGTATCGGCTTCTCTCTTTCATCTGACATTCGCCTCGCATTTTCGCAACACTGCCCTCCACCTAA